TATACCCATGCAGATGCCTTTTAAATGTTGCAATTGTACCCACCTCCACCACTTCATCTGGCAGCTCATTCCATACATGCATAACCCTCCGTGTGAAAAAGTCACCCCTCAGGTCCTTTTTAAATTTTTCCCCTCTCACCTTGAATCTAAGTCATCTAGTTTAGGACTAGTTATAGGTTGCCATCCTGAAAACTTCTCCTTTATCCTAACTCTCTATCTTCTATTTGTAAACCAATCCTCTATGTGTGCTAATATGCTTCCCCCAACATGGTGGGCTGGGTCTTGTTAAATAGCCTTACGTGCGGTACCTTATCAAATACCTTCTGACAATCTAAATATATTACATTTATTAGTTCCCTTTATCTATCCTGTTTGTTACCCCCTCAAAGAATTCCATAAAATATTTCAGGCTTGATTTCCCCTTCATGAGCCATGCTGACTCTGATTATATTGCATCTTTCTAAATGCTCTGCTATTACATCCTTTATAATAAACTCTTAACAGTTTCCTAATGGTAGATGTTAAGACAACTGGCCTATATTTACCTGTGGTTTTTGTCTCCTTCCTTTCTAAATAAGGGTGTTACATTGGCAGTTTTCCAAACCTCTGGGATTTTTCCTGGAGGATTACTACCACTGCATCTACTATCTCTGTAACTACTTCCTTTAATATTCCAACAGATGCAGGGACTTAGATCATAAGACCATAAGACATAGGAGCAGAAATTAGGCCATTCGGCCCATTGAGTCTGCTCCACCATTCAATCATGGCTGAGAAGTTCCTCAAACCCATTCTCCCGCTTTCTCCTCGTAACCCTTGATGCCCTTGATAATCAAGAACCTATCTATCTCAGTCTTAAATGTACTCAATGACCTGGCCTCCACAGCCTTCTGTGGCAGTGAATTCCATAGATTCACCACTCTCTGGCTGAAGAAGTTTCTCCTTATCTCCGTTCTAAAAAGTTTTCCCTTTACTCTAAGGCTGTGCCCTGGGGTCCTAGTCTCTCCTACCAATGGAAGCATTTTCCCAACATCCACTCTGTCCAGGCCATTCAGTATTCTGTAAGTTTCAATTAGATCCCCCCTTCATCCTTCTAAACTCCAATGAGTATAGTCCCAGAGTCCTCCAACGTTCCTCTTCTTAGTCTTTAGCCCATTAGTTTCCCTACAACCTTTTTCTCTAATGATAGTTATTGTACTTAACTCCCACCCCACCTTACCACTTTTCAGTTTGGAGTTAATTGCCATCTTGATTATTTCATAATTATGGAATGGCATTAATGTTTTCTACTGTGGTGCAAAGTTTTTATTCAACTCCTCTGCCATTTCCTGGTTCCCCATTATTATTTCCCCAGCCTCATTCTCTTAGGGGCCTATGTTCACATTGACCTGTCTCTTCCTTTTTATACATTTAAAGAGCAACTGACTGTATTTTTTTTATAATTGCTTGCATGTTTACCCTCAAAGTTCATTTCGTCTTTTTTTTGGTCATCATTTGTTTATTTTCAAAACTTTCCCAATCTTCTGACTTACCACTAATCTTTGCCACATTATGTTTTTTTTCTTTCAATTCGATATTATTCTTCACTTCTCTAATGAACCATGATCAGTTTAGCCCCTTCTTAGTATCCCTCTTCCTGACTAGGCTATACTTTTGTTGTGAGTCACGACTAGTTTTTTTCAACGTCAGCCATTGTTCCTTAACAATGACAACATTTAAAAGATATTTGGACAGGTACAAGGATGGGAAAGGATTAGAGGGATTTAAGCCAAATACAGTCAAGCAGGATGAATTCAGTTTAGGACACTTGGTCGGTAGGTATTGAACGAATCGGGCTGAAGGGCCTGTTTCTGTGCTGTATGACTCTATGACTCCATATCTGTCTTTGCAGCCAAATTCCTTTCTCAGTGCACTCCAGCCAACTCTCCCTCCTTTCTTTGTAAATACTCTTATTTAAGTTTGTTTTTGTGCAGTTGATTCTGGGTTCAGATTTCTCATTGTCAAATGGAATGTTATATTCTATATATAAATGATATAGATGAGAATTTGGGAGGATGATAAGTAGGTTTGCAGATGGCATGAAAATTGGCTGTGTGGTTAATAGTATTGAAGAAGGCTACAGGAAGGTATAGACATGTTAGTCAGGTGGGCAAATCAGCAGCAGATGGAATTTAACCTTGATAAGTATGAGGTGATGCAGTTTGGAAGAAGTAACAAGACAAGGGAGTACTCAATGAATGCAGGGCACTAGGTAGCTCAGAGGAATAGAGGTATTTTGGGTAGTTAATCTGTAGAACTCATTGCCGCCAAGGGCTGTGGAAGCCAAGTCATTGAGTGTATTTAAGATAGAAATATATAGTTCCTTCATTAGTACGGAGATTAAGGGTTGTGGGGAGAAGGTAGGAGAATGGGGTTGGAAAACACATCACCCATGATCGAATGGCAGAGCAGATTTGATTAGCTGAATGGCTTAATTCTACTCCAAGTTTTATAAGGGACACTTGCTTTTATCAGTCGTGGCATAGATTATAAAAGCAGGAAGGTCATGTTGGAGCTATACAGGACTTCAGTTAGGCCACAGTTGGAGTACTGTGTGCAGTTCTGGTCACCACACTATAGGAAGGATGTGATTGCACTGGAGGGGGTGCAGAGGAGATTCATCAGGACTTTGCCTGGGATGGAGTATTTCAGACTTGAAGAGAGGCTAGTTAAGTTCAAGTTGTTTTCTTTGGAGCAGAGAAGGCTGGAGAGGGACCTGATAGAAATATATAAGCTTATGAGGGGTATGGTCAGGCCGGATAGAAAGCAGCTGTTCTCCTTAGTTGAAGGGTCAATAACAAGGGGCATAATTTTAAGTTGAAAGGCAGGAGGTTTAGAGAGGATTTGAGGGAAAGCTTGTTTCACCCAGAGAATGTTGGGAATCTGGAATGCACTGCCTGGGCAGGTAGTTGAGGCAGGACACCTCACAATCTTTAGAAAGGATGTACGTGTACATTTGAAATGTCATATTCAAGGTTATGGCCAAGTGTTGGAAAGTGGGTCTAGTGTAGAGAGATTTCTACAGACTCAAGAGGCTGAAGGGCATTTTCTGTGCTGTATGACTATCTAAACACTGTGGCTGGCTACAAGAGCAGATCAGAGGCTAGGACGGGCTATAGCTGAGGTGCCAGAGGATTTCTAACATTGTCTCATTATTAAATAAAAACAAGAAGGAAGAATTGACTGAGTGATTACAGGTCAGTCAGAAAAACCTTAGTGGTGGGGAAATTTTTAAATATTCTTTTGTTTTTAATTCACTCATGGGATATGGGCATTGCTGGCTGTCCCTAGTTGACCTTGAAAATAATTCTGAGAGATAGAATATATCCGCACTTGGAGAGACACAGCTTATTTGGGAGAGCTCAGCATAGATTTGTTAAGGGAAAGTTGTGTTTGACAAATTTAATTGAATATTTTGAGGAGGTAATGGCAAGCACAGATGAGGGTAATTGTTTGATGTGGTTTATATGGACTTTAGCAAGGCTTTGGGTAATGTCCCTCATGGCAGACTGGTTAAGGGAGTGACAGCCCATGGGCTCCAAAGCAAAGAGGCATGTTGGATCCCAAACTTGCTGAGAGTCAAGAAGCAGAGGGTGATGGTAAAGGATTGTTCCTGTGACTAGAAGTCTGTTTCCAGTGGGATTCCTCAGGGCTTGGAGCTGGAGCCCTTGATGTTTCTGGTGTCCATTGATTATTTGGTCTTGAATGTAGGGGTTATGATAGAGAAGTTTGTGGATGACATGAGAATTAGTAGGGTGTTTAATAATGAGGAGAACAACTGTAAACTGCAGGAGGATATCAGAAGACTGTTCACATAGGCAGGACAGCGGCAAGTGAAATTCAACCTCAAAAAGTGAGGTAATGCAGTCAGGGAGGCCTAGAAAGGTAAGGGATTACACTATTAATGGTAGGACCCTGGAAGGTTCTGATGAACAAAGGGACCTTAGTGTGAATATCCACAGATCTCTGAAGTTGGCAGGGCAGGTAGATAAGGTGATTAGGTAGACTTTGGGAAATTTGGATAGGATGAATAGCCAAGGTCTTTTTCCTTGGGGAGGGGAGTCCAAAACTAGAGGACATATGGTTAAGATGAGAGGGGAAAGATTTAAGAAGGACCTGAGGGGCAACTTTTTCATGCAGAGGGTGCAGCTTGTGTGGAATGAGCTGCCAGAGGAGTTGTGGAGGTAGGTACAATTACAACATTTAAAAGGCATGTGGATTGGGTATATGAATAGGAAGGGTTTAGAGGGATATGGGCCAAATGGTGGCAAATGGGATTAAGTCAGTTTGGGATATCTGGTTGGTGCAGTCGCGTTGGACCAAAGGGTCTGTTTCCATGCTTTATGACTCTATGAGTACTGCAGCGAATAACTCACCTCCTGACACTTCAAAGCCTTTTCCAGCAAGTCTGCAAGGCACAAATCAGAAGTGTGATGGAATGTTCCCTACTTGCCTGAATGAATGCAGCTCCAAGAACACTCAAGAAGCTCGACACCATCCAGGACAAAGCGGCCCTTAAATTTCCTTTCCGAACACCAAGTGAACTGCAGCAGTTCAAGAAGACAACTCATGACTACCCTCTCAAGGGCAACTAGGGATCCATAATAAATATTGTGTTTTTGCAGCAATGTCCACATCTCATGAAAGAATTAGAAAAATTCCTACTATATCTCATGTAGAAATTTAAATCATTTTTGTTCTGAAATCATAAATATCCCAACTCCGGCCTTTTAGTACCCTTTCCAACCTGTGACTAGCTCTGAAAATGAAGCAAAGTCTTAGTAATTAAATAACATACATAAAATGAAACACCACAAAAATACACCATTCTGCCCTTTGATCCCATGCTACATTAACACTTCCATATAGCTGCAATCAGTGTAATATTTGATAATTCACAGGCATCAAGAATGAATCTTCAGAATACTGACTATCAGAGTGAGCAGTATGTGTGGAATTACCTGAAGCTAGATTCTTTTCACTCTCAGCAGTCAGTTTTCCAGAATGTTGAGACACAGTTTGTGATGCTAAATAAGTAGAAAAGGCAATTATTGTGGATAACAAATACTGCAATTTCAGGACAGGTTCATCAATTTCTGGAAGAACAAAATCTTATTTTAAAAAAATCCGACATGAACTGTATTTATACAAGTCACAGTCAGACAATTATCAAACAGCACCAACTGAAACGCAGCATTCAGCACTCACAGGGGAACCCTGTCTAGCTAATAGCTCATATAATTTTGGTGTTGTAGAGGGAGCTTTACTCTGTATTTAACCATGTGCTGAACCTGTCCTGGGAGTGTTTGATGAGAGACAGTGGAGAGAAAGCTTCACTCTGTATCTAATCCCATTCTGAACCTGTCCTGGGAGTGTTTGATACAACCAGTATAGAGGGAACTTTACTCTGTATCTAACCGTGCTGTCTCTGTCCTGGGAGTGTTTGATGGGGACGATGTAGAGGAAGGTTTATTCAGACACTTGTGACTTAAATTAATTACATTGCTTATCACAGGAAGAACCAAAAAGATTAAGGAAGACATACTTTTTGAAACATTTTGAGTGTTTTCATTCTCAGGTGCCTGTGTCTCAGAGGATGTGATTGGTGACAACTCCTCCATGGATAGTTATCTAAAAAGAACCAAAAAGACACAAATTCAGAATCATCTCAAAATAGAAAACGCACGATGCACGAATGTTACTAAAGATTGAGGTGGGAACTTGGTTTGGTGACCTCACCCAGGAGTCTATGACCGCATGGCAGTTAGCTGTACGGACTGTACTAGAGGTCAGAGGCTCAAAACTACAATGAAGTATCATCTCAACAGAGAGGCGAGACACAAGCCCCATCAGACCCGCTGTTCTCCCTTGCCTAGGACTGTCGATTCTGTAACATCCCAACAACTATTCGCACCAAACATTAATGATCTGGCTGAAGGAACTGAGGGCGTTGTTGCTAAGTTTACAGATGACACAAAGATAGGTGGAAGGACAGGTAGCGTTGAGGGGAGGCTGCAGAAGGACTTGCACAGGCTGGGAGAGTGGGCAAAAAAGTGGCAGATGGAGTATAATGTAGGAAAGTGTGAGGTTATGTATTTTGACATGAAATTGGATACTTAGTTGGAGAGACTAGGACCTGAGGGTGCAGCCTCAGAGTGAGGGGACAAAGCCTTAGTACTGAAATGAGGAGGAATTTCTTCAGCCAGAGGGTGGCGAATCTGTAGAACTTTTTGCCGCAGAAGGCTGTGGTGGCCAAGTCATTGAGTGTCTTTAAGACAGACATAGATAGGTTCCCGATTAGTAAGGGGAGCAAGGCTTACGGGGAGAAGACAGGAGAGTGGGGTTGAGAAACATATCAGCCATGATCGAATGGTGGAGCAGGCTCAATGGGTTGAATGGCCTAATTCTGCTCCTATACTTTTTGGTCTGTCAAGTACTCCTCCCAGGAGATCAGCACAGGAAGCCATTTGGCACATTAAAGCTTTTAGGCTCTTTGAACAACTGATCCTGCAGTCCTGATCATTCATGGGGATGTAAGAAATGGGTGTAGGAGTAAGCCATTCAGCTCCTCAAGCCTGTTCTGCCATTTAACTAGCTCGTGGCAACGTCATTTTCCAGCACTCTCCTCATATCCTCTTGATATTTTTAACAAAAACCGAAATTGCTAGAAAAACTCAGCAGGTCTGGCAGCATCTGCAGAAAGAGAAACAGATTTAATGTTTTGAGTTCAGTGACCCTTCTTCAGAAGGGCCGTTGTTATCTTTAACATCTAGAAATCTGTTGCTGTCTTGAACAGAATCAATGACTGATCTCCCTCAGTCCGCTGAGGTAGAGAATTCTAAAGATTCAGTATGCTCTCAGTGAAGAAATTCCTTCTAATCTCACTGCTCAATAAGATGCCCCTTATTCTGAAAGGTGTTGGTGAAGACCAGTTAAGGGAAACATCCTTTTTGCACCCATCCTGTCAATCCCTGTAAGAAATTTCTAAGTTTCAAAGAGATCACCTTTCATTCCACGATACTGTACCTCAGGGATAATCTGGTGAAGGATCATTGTACTCCTTTTGTGGAAAATCTATCCTTCCTTCAACCAGGAGGCCAGAACTGCACACAGTACTCCAAGTATAATCTCACCAAGATCTCTGTACAATTGCAGCAAGACTGCTTTACTGAACACAGCCCGGCAAATGCTACCCCTTGGCCTGCATGTTTCCAGTCTTCGAGAAGATTTGTAGCTTGGATTGTGGGTGAGGTTGTAGACATACTCGCTGAGCAGCATGTTTGGTTGCAAACGTTTCGTCACCTTGCTAGGTAACATAGTCAGTGCACCTCCGGTGAAGCGTCGGTGTTCTGTCCCACTTGTTATTTATATGCCTTGGTTTGCTGGGATGTTTGGTATTACTTCCAGTTTTGTTTGTCAGTGGTTTGTACACAGGGTCTAATTCAATGCATTTGTTGATGGAGTTCCAAAAATTAATAATACGGATATATGAACACCAACTAGCCATCAAGAGACATGTTCAATTCTCACTTGTCTCACTACACACGGACAATGAGGGACACAGATTCGACTGGGACAACACATTGATAATCGCACAAACCAAAGACACACCAGGGAATTCCTGGAGGCCTGGTATTCCAAGTGGAACTCCAACAACAAACTTGAATTAGTACTGAATGCCAACCACCCCAACAAACCGAGGCATATAAATAACAAGTGGGACAGAAAACCAACACTTCACCGGAGGCGCACTGACGATGTTACCTAGCAGGGTGACGAAATGTCTGCAACCAAACCCACCAGCTCAGTGAGCATGTCTACAACCTCCTGCATGTTTCTGTTGTAATACTCCAAAGCATTTATACTGAAGGTGGGGAGAGAAGGCGCCCCTCCCCAAATTTAAAGGGCAGCTCTGCCAGTGACCTCAGCAGTTTACATTTGGCAATTCTGGTCTCTCTGCTATAGGAAGGATGTTGTGAAACTAGAAAGGGTTCAGAAAAGAATTACAAAGATGTTGCCAGGGTTGGAAGGTTTGAGCTACGGGGAGAGGCTGAACAAGCTGGGGCTATTTTCCCTGGAGCGTTGGAGGTTGAGGGGTGACCTCATAGAGGTTTATAAAATCATAAAAGGCATGGATAGAGTAAATAGACAAGGTCTTTTCCCTGGGTGGGGGAGTCCATAACTAGGGGGCATAGGTTTAAGGTGAGAGGGGAAAGATTTAAACGAGTCCTAAGGGGCAACTTTTTCATGCAGAGGGCAGTGTGTGTATGGAATGAGCTGCCAAGAGGAAGTGATGGAGGCTGGTACAATTACACCATTCAAAAGGCATCTGGATGGGTATATGAACAGGAAGGGTTTAGAGGGATATGGGCCAAATGCTGGCAAATGTGACTAGAATAATTTAGGATATCTGTTCGGCATGGACGAGTTGGATCAAAGGTTCTGTTTTCATGCAGTACATCTCTATCTCTAAATGGGTGAGATCCTTTGTGGGGAATGGTGACAGGGAATGGAGGAACAGAAGAGGTTGAAGGTGATACCAATGGTACTGACTGTACAATCTCTGTTCCTGGGTGAAGCAGCTACATAGAGATCTATAGACAAAATAAAAACCCATTGGGCCCACTGTGTCTGCACCAGTCATAAACATCCACATAACTATTCTAGTGCTATTTTCCAGCACTTGGCCCATAGACTTGTATGCCTTGGCACTACAAGTGCATATCTAAATACTCCTTAACCGTCATGAGGATTTCTGCCCGTACCATCCCTCAAGCCAGTGAGTTCCAGATTTCCACCACCCTCTGGATGAAAAAAATCCTTCAGATCTCCTAAACCTCCTGTTTAAATCTATGCCCCCAGTAACTGATTGCTCCACAAAGGGGAAAAGTTCATTCCTGTGCACCCTATCCATGCCCAACATTTTTTTATTCATTTCAACCTGGGCACCACACCAATGATCTCGGAGGGAGTCCAATGTAGATTTACAAGAATGGACTTCAGGGATTAAGTTATGAGAGGAGAGATCATCCAAATTATGCCTGTTTTCTCTAGAATTTAGGTTAAGGAGTGATCTGATAGAAGTCTTCAAGATATTAACAGGAAAAGACAGGGTGGATAAACGATTTCTACTGGTTGGGGATTCTAGAATTAGGGTCACAGTCTGAGATTAGAGATGGACCGTTCAGGAGAGATGTTAGGAACCACCTCCACACACAAGGAGTGGGAGAGGTTTGGAACTCTCTCCCACAAACAGCAGTGGATGCTGGATCAGATGTCTGTTTTAAATTTGAGCTTAATAAATTTTTAATAAGCAAAGATATTAAGGGATGTGGGCCAAAGGCAAGTAAATGGAGTTAGGCCACAGATCAATCATGATCTCGTGGAATCTTTATGATTCCCCCTCAGTCTCCTCTGCTCCAAGGAAAAAACTTACTCTATCCAATGTGTCTCCCCAGCCCAGGCAACATCCTGATAAATCGCCTCTGCATCCTCTCCAGTGCTATTGCGTCCTCCCTATAATGAGGATTCCAGAACAGCACACAATACTCTAGTTGTGGCCCAACCAACATTTTATACAGATCCAGCATCACCTCATTGATCTTAAACTCTACACCTTGGCTAATAACGGCAAGTATCCAAAATGCCGTCTTAACCACTTGGTCCCCCTGACCTAATACCTTAAGGAGCATGCACACCAAAATCACTCAAATCCTCAGTGCTTCGCAGGGTCCTACCGTTCATAATGTAATCCTATGCCTAGTTGGTACCCCCTTCATACTACAACTCATATTTATCCAGATTGAACTCCTTTTGCCACTTATCAGCCAATCGGACCAGCCTGTCTATAGCCTCTTGTCTCAGACTATCCTCCTCAATATTTACCATGATTACAATTCGCATATCATCCACAAATTTATTCATCACTATGTGTAGACGGCACTTACTGCACACTCTCTGTCCCTGGGTGATGGGGGGGGGTCACTTACTGCACAGTCTCTGTCCCTGGGTGATGGGGGGGG